TCAAACTCAGGTTGTCAGGCATCAGCAAGCTCTCAGCCATCTTGCCAGTCCTAGTGATGTCCTTCCAAAAGGAAAAATAAAGACTGTGTGCGTGTGTGTGTGCGCGCGCGCGTGCACGTGCGTGTGTGTGTGTGTGTGTGTGTGTGTGTGTGTGTGTGTGTGTGTGTGTAACATGCAAGTCTGCAAAAGTGTCTGTCATCAGAGGGAGAGGAGGGTAGCGGGAATCCTCTTTTATGGAGCTTCGATTACTCAGACAGGGTCTCTCACTGAAACTGGAATTCTCTGTAGTTCAGCCAGGCTGGCAGCCAACAAGCCCCAGGGATGGCTTCCTTTCTTGAAAAAAAAAAAAAAGATGGATAGACAGACAGACAGACAGGCAGGCAGATGACAGACAATGTGTGTGTGGTGTTTGGGAGTGCTGCGGCACACATGTACAGGTCAGAAGGTGATTTGCAGGAGTCAGTTCTCTCCTTCCAACCAAGGGATCCCGGAGACTGTGCTTCTTCTACTGGGCTTGCCTACAGACCTCTTTACCCGATGAGCCATCTTGCTGACCCCCATCAGTCCCCTGTCTCACCTACTCCCCCTCCCAGCACTGGGGTTGCAGGAGTGCATGGCCCCACCCAGCTGTATACATAGGTGCTGGAAATCCAAACTCGGTCCTCTTGTTTACCGTCAGCAAGTATGCTCATCCACTGAGCCACCTCCCCTCAGTCACACTGCCTCATGTTGGGAGGTGACAGCATCTCCCACAGCTGGCTTCAATAAGCCAGATCTTCCCTCTTGTTCCTTAGACCATCTTGTTAGATGTTTGTTGATGTTTTCAAAGAATCGGCTTCGCTGACTCTGCTTGTATCTCCTATACCCTGCTAGTCTGTCTCTGTGGTTGTCTTTATAAGTAGGTGTTGCAGCTGACCAACAAGTCCTAGGGAGCCTCCTGTTTGCTTCCTGGCACTGGGATCACGAAAACATGCTATGGTCCCCAGCTTCTGTGTGTGGGTTCTGGGGATTGAACTCAGGTCCTCATGATTGCTCAGTGGGCAAGATCTGTATGTCCTGCCCCAAAGGCCTCATTTTCACATCATCAAGACATATAATATTAATATATTCATCTAAGATGCACAATCCAGCTGGGTGTGGTGGCACACACCTGAAATCCCAGCCCCAGAGAGGTAGAAGCAGGAGGATCAGGAATTCAAGGTCAGCCTTGGCTACAGTAAAAGTTCAAGGCCAGTTCAGCTTACATGAGACTGCCTCAAACAAACAAAAAAAGGGCCCAGTTCAGTGGCATTAGTATATTGACAGAGTGTGCAGCTATGACCACGATTTAATTTTAGAACAGTTCATCACTCCAGTCAAAAGTCCCGTTAGTGGCCATTCTCTGGCGGCTCTTCTCCAATGTACACAGCCCCAGGTAGCCCATAATCTTCCTCTAGGGACCCCTCTTCTGGGTATTCCCCATCTGTGAAGCGGTGGGGCACTGTTGTGACCCTCTGCAAGGACTTCACCCGCTCAGCATGTTTGAGGCCCATCCCTTGCAGTAGCGCACAGTAGCAACTCACCCCCTCCACTGCTAAGTAATCAGCCTCTTGCACAGTCACCCCGCAAGCATGTGTGCGGTGCTGCCGCCCTGAACCTGCATGCACAAGGCTCTGTGTGGGAGCCTGTTTTTGTTTCTCTTTGGCATGTGCTTACAAGTGGGATTTCTGAGTCATGGCAACTCTATATTTAACATTTTGAGGAACTTCCAAGCTGTTTTCCAAGGTTGTTATTATTTTTTTTGGCAAGTGATGTTCACTTAGAATCAGCAGCAAATATAACCACTCTGGAGCTCCTTACTCACTCCTTCCTGCTCTTCCAGCTTTCTTTTCTACACAGTTCTCACTCAGTGAAGAACACTTGCAAGTTTTGTGCATTTGCAAATGTCCTCTCCCTCCCTCCCCCCACTTCCTCCCTCCCTCCCTCTTCTATCTGTGCTTCCTACAAGTGAGTGTGTGTATTTGTGCTTGTGGGAAGCAGGGGACATTTCGAAGCTGCTCTGCACTTTCTAAGAAGATTGTTCTTTGACAATTTCATAGATGTTTATTATGTATTCTGGTTACTCTCTCCATCCACCCTCTCTTATCCAGCTTCTGCCACCATCAAACACACACACACACACACACACACACACACACACACACACACACACACATCCTTTTCCCAGATTCTATGACTCCTGGTTTTGTTTTGTGACCCATTTAGTTTTGACAGGACCATCAGTGTTTACGTAGCATGACATGACTCTGGCTATCTTCATCATAACTCCTGTTTTGCTGACTGGATAACCCTGGAGTCATCTCTACTCTATAGGGCACATCAAATCCTGAGATAGTCACCTGAAGATAGTGTCCCAGCCGATGATGCCCAGTCTGTTGTTGGCCCGACGGTGGACATGTCAACTGTCTTGAGAAAGGCCAGTGTATTTTGGTCTCACCTCACCTATGTCTAGCTTAACACCTGTTAGATGGTTGCTGTGGCAGCCTGGCTGGAAGATGTAAATGAGGAAAGATTTATCTGGGTTCCTGGTTTCAAAGCAGAACTGTTCACATCCTGGAGGATAAGATACATAGTTAAGCAGTAACAAGAAGGAACCGTGACAGGATATAACCCCAAGGACACAAGCCCTATGACCTACTTCCTCCCAGCACCTGCCAATAGTCCGTTCCAATCACGAATCCATCAATGGATTACACTAACTGTCCATCAATGGATCGCACTAACTGTCAGAGCCCTGATGAGCAATCGTCCTCCCGAACACACCCAAGAGTGCGCTGATCATCTCCTGAGAATATCTTGATTCAATCCAATTGACGGTCAAGATCAACCAGCCAACACGTGAAGTCCCACCTCTGGCTTTAGGGGGCTAGCATTCGCCTGTCTTGCCACCACACAAGACATACTTCTGTTAATCATCCCCTGTTAACACCTGCTTCGTGGTCCTGACTCTGTCCCTAAGTTCATGACACCGTTTGCGCCGACACCCAGTCCTCGTGTGCCCGGCTTGGTTTTCCTGAGATCTCCCGTCCTCTCCTTCTGACTTCACCGTTGCTGTGCTTGCTCCTGGGCATTTTCTTCTGACTCACTTTCCATGTGCTGATTTTCTGTTCCACTTTGACAGGGCATGATCAAATTCGTCCATGGAGTTCTCAATTCTGTTCGTTTGGTTTCCCACTTCTAGCGTACAGTACAGAAAGTATTGTTCCTTGTCATCACGTTCTTCACCACCACAGTTCTCAGTCTTGTCTCCTTTGATCTCTCCAGCTGTAGCCAGTGTATTATTTTTTGCTGGTGACAACTCTGAATCCTCCCCCTGCCTGGTGAACAAGCCTGCATTTGTGTGCCTGTCCGTAGTGAGCAGGCCTTCCAGCCATATGGACGGTAACTTAGCGGCATCTCCACTCAACAGTCAGAAGGACGGTTTTCTCTGGTGAGGCAGGAAGCATTCTAGGTTCCGCAGAGCACATGGGTTTCGAGTCCCATTTGTAGGATCTCTGAAGTGCAGACAAGTAGATCTCCTTGCTTACACCGGCCGCTTGTTCCAGGAGAAATGGCCGGACTCCATCCCGTGCTGGGAGGGCTGGACACTGGGGACTCTTGAGGTAGGGCACTTGAGGTCACCCTGACTTTCTGGTCCCTACCCAGCAAGGCTGGGATTTGAGAGGGAAAGGCACAGTCCTCCATTACTTGTTCCTGTGGAATGTTCCCTTGGCCTCGGCATCAGCCTCTCAAACTCGAGTGAGCTCACACTCTAGATGTTGAAAACTGCTTGTTCAGTAATGTTCTTGGACAGGCTAGCTCTCTGCTCCTGTTCTACGTTCTCGGCCTCGGCCTCTGACTCCACCTTAGCCAAATCACGATGGATGGATGACGAGGATCATAACTCAGAAGGACCGGGATTCTCCAGCCCTCCACTGAGAGGGGTGGGGAACATGATCATGTGTGTGGTATGTGTGATAGGAAGTTAATGTGTACGAGCATGTGGGCACATGTGTTCGTGTGTATGTGACCATTCTGTTACATAACACAGCAATGCAAAGTGCGCAGTTAAAAGGTTCCTAGCAGTCACTGTGTTATGTAACCATGATTGGCAACTGGAGAATGTTTTCATCAAAAAGAAAAGAAAAAACGATGCACTAGTACACATTGGCTGTTGCTCTCTCGTTCTCCCTGCCCAGCCTCTGGAGATGCTGGATCAACTTCATTTTTTTTTTTTTACTGCTTTTGCAGAGGACCTGGGTTCAGTTCCCAGAACCCACGTGCCAGGAGCTCACAACTATCTATAATTTTAGTTCTGATGCCCTCCCCTGGCCTTTGAAGACTCACACATGTGGTGGATTTATATGCATGTAGGCAAGACTCTTATACACATAAAAATAAATCTTATGAGGGACATTGGGGCATCGGGGCACATGCCTTTTCAGGAGACTGAAGCCAGAAACTGACAGCCACAAGTTTGAGGTGTGAGACCAGCCTGGGCTACAGTACAAAATACAGTCTGAAAATAGATAGATAGATAAATAGATAGATAGATAGATAGATAGATAGATAGATAGATAGATGATAAATAGCAAAAGCAAAAACACTGATGTCTGGGCATGGCATGGCTCTCGTACTCTTGAATGCACAGCTGTTGTGATTGTTCACACATGACTGGGCCCTGCAGCTCTCAGTCACAGAACTGGGAAGGGATCTCATGGCCACACACCCTTCTCTGAGGATTTATACCCAGTTGCCTGGGGGACAGGGATATGTTCACTGCGAAGGTGCCCATGTGCCTGTGAACAGCCCTACTGTGACTCATTTGGAGATACACACACACACACACACACACACACACACACACACACACACGAAAGGGAGACTAAATGGGAAGAAGATGGAATTAGTCTAAAGGGGAACGGTCAAGGATTATGGGAACTGGATATGATGGAAATACACTGTGCACATGTATGCAAATGTCATAAGGAAACTCTTTATTATATATAATTAATATATGCTAACATTTTAAAAGGTTAGGCGAGTTGGGGCACACCTGTAATCCTGGCATTCAGGAAGTGGAGTCAGGAGGGTCAGGAATTCAAGGTCAGGCTTATTCATATATAATAAGTTCAAGATCAGCCTGGCCTACATGAGAGCCTTTTTAAAAAAAGAAAGAAAAAAACAAGGTGGGAGTAGGGGAAAGCATCAGATGGGCACCAGAGTAAATGCTCCCTTCCTCCCCATGGCCAGGCCAGCTGTGTACTGAATGTACCCAGGCCACAGGACAGGAGAGCAGGCTGCCAGTTGCCCTTGAATGGGGCCAACACATTCCTTCCAGGTCCCTTTGGGAAAAGCACCGGCCCCACTCCTGGGCACCTGTAAGGCCTCTTCTCTGCCCAACAGCTTCCACACTGCGGAGAAGGGAACTCACTTTTTGACCAGGGCCCTTGTCCACCTGCTCCATTTTGGCCCCATTCCAAGGCTGAGTGTGGCCGCATGGGCTCCCAGCACCAGGCAGAGGCAGAAGGCCAGCTGTTTGCCAAGCTGCCGATTCCAGCTTCCAAGCCAGCTGCTGGTGGGGCTGGCTGCTGACCTCGCTGGCCAGCAATGAAAAGAAGAAGTGCCTACTCTTCACCATGGGGACACAGAGGGGCTGTTACCAGTGCCCAAAGTCGTGGGTTATCACAACAAGCTTCACTAGGATCCCCAAAAGAGACAAGCACGCACTGGCCTCCAGCGCCTGCCCATTCACAAATCCCTTTAGCAGATGTGTTTTAAGATAAATCTGGAGATCTGGAGAGTGAGTCCTAGATTTAGGGGAGACCCTGAATGAAGCCCTAAGTGTTCTTGAAAGGAAGACAAGCTGTGGGAAGCAGGTCACATAGAGTCAGGACAGGAAGACTGATAAGGTCCCTCCCTCCAGGCAAAGAATGCCTGTAAATACAGGTGGCAGGAAGTGCCCTCCCCCGTCCTTGCTGGGAGCACCACATCACTCACACCTGGGTTTTGAACTCTGACCTCCAGAGCTCTGAGAAGACATTTGTCTGTTTGCAGCCACCTGGTTTCTGGGCCTTTGTGACACAGCCCAGGACTGTCATACAGTTTTCTGGGCTGTAGTCCAGGCCAGGGGGCTACCTGCACTGCTCGTCCCAGGGCCCCCCACTCTAGTACAAAAGAATAATGTGCCGTCACTACACGTGAGTCTCCAGACCTGTCCACACACCAAACAGCCCTAGTGCTCAGCTCTGCTGAGCCACACTCAGGAAATCCATGTCTCCTTGGTAGGAACATGGCGATTCCGGCCCTGGGTACAAAGCTGAGGGCATAATTAGCCTTTAGTAGGCAGAAGGTGGGTGATAGATGGGAAGAGGGCAGGAGGAAGACTCCATCCAGTGAGCAGACAAAGAGGCCAGCTTGCTGCAGATTGCCATGGCAAGCTTAATGTTTTCTGGAAAGAGCAGGGCAGAGCACAGCTGGCAGCGGCCTCTGCTGCAGGCACACCCATGGAGACTGGCTTGGAGGGTCTGGTCAGCAGAAGCCCCTTCAGAGGTGGTATATGCAAACGCTGAGTCCCACCAGTCAGACACCAGAAGAAGAGAGGGGTCCTAACCAAGGGCCAGCAAGCAGCAGCAAACAAGCCTGGTTGGCACAAAGCAGATAGCCAATACCCAGGCCCTGGCATCAACATGGGTGAGATGCGGAGAGGCCACAGGTTCTCTGAGATCTGAGAATCAGCCCTGAAGCCGTCCCTGAGTCAGAGCCTGGTGGTGGGATACACATCTCATGTTTCCTCCTCTAGCACTTCAGGATTGACCTGGAAATGGGAAGGATATACTCTCTAGCTTTTACAAGCTCTGGGACCCAAAAGAAATCCTTTTCCCATTGCCATAGGCTGGCTAGGGCTGTGTCAGGCTAGGTGGTCCTGTCAGACCCATCAGCTCCTGTGGTAACACATCAATCATCCAGACAGGACACTGAACCAGGGAGAAGACGGGACACAAGCTGGTGAGGAGCAGCTTGTTAGAACCCCAAATCAAAGGCTTGGTACCTTCCATGGCTGATCCATCTGGAAGGAGGAACTGGGAACTGATCCCACACCAGGCAGGGGGAGAACTCACCTGGGGTTCCAGAGCATCCCAGGGAAGTGGAGGAAAGCAGAGAGGTGCGGGGATCTATTAGGAGCTTTATTTCTTATAGAGAAACCTGCAGGTTCAGGAGTCCCTGAGGTCCCCAGCCACTGTCAGGAGCTGTGAGCTGGAGTGAGCCGGGTGCTGCCCCCAGCCCAGAGTCAACCCACAGAGGGCCTGCTGCCCCTCTTGGGAGCTGACATTTGCTGCCCTCCCTCCCCGAACCCTTTCACTATTGTGGCTCAGAAAGACTGACAGGCCCCTGGGCAAGGCTGTAGCAAGTCAACAGAGCTCAGAGGTCAGTCCTGCTGTCCCCAAGAAAGCTCACACATGGCCTGATAGAGTGAAGTCAGATGCGGCTTCCAAACCCACAAACTGCGGCTCCTCCATTGTCATCTATGCTTCCCTGTAGATCCATTCCTGTGCAGGGTCTCTGGCCCACTTTCCCCAGTACAGCGCTCTCTCTCGCTCTCGCTCTCTGTCTCTTCCTCCCTCCTTCTCTCTCTCTAAGAGCCAGCTGGCTGAAAGGCCAAAACAAACACCACTTTCCTGTCTCTCTGCTTTACTTTGTTCCTTTGAAACTCATGGCGTTTGCTTAATTACGTCCAGGAATGGGAGCACACAGGGGCTGTGCTCTGGAACACCCTGCGGCCGCAGGACAGTGCACCACAGGGTCATCTAAGGCTGTGTACACAGAAGGAGCTGGAGGTCCCCCAAAGTCCTCATAGGCACCCCACCCGATGATTTCATCTGCCAGCAGCTCTCTATCGAGGGCAGGAGCCAGACCCAGGACCACACAGCCCTTTGGACTTCCCAGTGGCCACGGGCATCTTGTCAAAAACCAAAACTAAGGACACCAAGGCCAAAGAAGCCAGGACTGAGGGGAGAGACGATGGGGTCAGCCTGGGGCAGGACTCCAGTGTCCGTGGAATGCAGGAATGGGCAGGGGTGACAGGCAAGGAGGTCATCAGTCTGTGACAGTACCTTGGGGAGTGGTAGCTAGGGTTCAGAGGCTGGCTTGACCAGGTAGCCACTGAAGGTGATATAGGTGTCGAACTCATCACTGAAAATGGCGTTCTCACGCTCGCCCTTGAAGAGGCGCACCCAGACCTCATCCTGCTCACGCAGCTCCAGCATCAGGCTCTGACTCTGCATAATGCTTCGGTCGCTCACCTGTGCATACAGGATCACCACCTCCTCCTCGTTCTTCATGATGTGCAGATACGTCTCCTTCTGGTTCCAAGTGTGCACATTGAGGCTGAAGAAGTAGATGCCCGGCACATAGCAGTAGAACTTGCCAGTGAACATGTTGAAGTGTTCATAGAGGTTCACAAACTGAGTGTCAAAGACCACAGGCTGGAAGTAGTCATTACTGTGCAAAGGCTTTTTTCGGCCCACAGAGAAGGCTGCATAATGGCTCTTGCAGCGGTCTCCAGGAGCCCCCACGGACCCCTTCTGCCCTTTGGGGCCAATATGGCCCCTGGCACCTGCAGAACCTGTTTTCCCGTATTTCCCCTGGAGGCCTCGATCCCCTCGGTCACCTTTCTCACCTAAGAGAGAATAAGAAGAGATGAGGTCCCAAAGGAGGTCAGCCTGCAGCTGGCTTCCGGGCAGTCATCTGACTGCACACCCCAGCCCTGACCTGGGCAAGGGGACACTGTGGTTCCCCTATCATTAGAGCTACCATTTTCACTGTCAAGGGTTGGTCTGTTTTCATCCAGAAGGCAAGCTTTTTCACTCTCTTTCTGGAAAGTCCTGGCAAAGATAAAGGAACATATGGGTTTGTCCACTAGCAACAGGCTCTGTGGCCAGGCCTGGGCTCACTCTGAGTAAATGGACTGCAGATGTCAGGACTCAGAGCAAGATCCAGGTTGCAAGCATTCCCTGGGGTTGTGTGAAGTTATCAAGGGGGAGGACACAGCATTTCAGAGAACTGGCTTGACGTGGCGTCAAAACAAAGAGGTCTGAAAGTCCCATGCAAACAGGGAGGGGGAAGAATCCCTGAGGCCCCTCTTTATGGATAAGCATGTGTGGTGGTTGTGAACCCGTGTGACATGTGTGTGTGTGCACACTACAGGCACTTGGCGAGGCCAGAAGACGGTGTTGGGAGTACTCTTTCCACCTTGCCTTTTTTATTTATTTTAGTATTTTATGTGCATTGGTGCTTTGCCATGGGTGTCGGGTCCCCTGGAACTGGAGTTACAGACAGTTGTGAGCTGCCATGTGGGTGCTGGGAATTGAACCCGGGTCCTCTGGAAGAGCAGTCAGTGCTCTTACTCGCTGAGCCATCTCTCCAGCCCCACTCCATCTTACCTTTTGATGTAAGGTTCCTCACCGAATCACAGTGCTTCAGAAAGCCTGGATTCTAGAATCTTCCTAACTCTGCCCTTCCCGAGCCTCCTGGTTACAGGCACATGTAGCTACCCCTGGTTTTTACATGGGTGCTGGGGATTTGAACTCGGGTCATCTTGCTTTCTTAGCAAGTGTTCTTAACCACTGAGCCATCTCCCTAGAATCCTCTAAGGCTCCTCCTCTTCTGCTCATGGAGAAGGGTCATAGCTCAAAACTTAAAATTTCTTCCTTCCCTCCAGATGGCAGCCCACCTCTGCTCTATCTGAGACCCCTGATCCTGCAAGCCCCACCCAGCAGCATCTCCCTCTCCATTGATATAAAGCAGCCCCCAGGAAGTGCCCCCCCCACCAGCCAGCTCTGCAGCCTTCTCACCTTTCAGGATGGTGATGTTGATTTGGGGTGGGGGGATTGACTGGTATACAGGCGTGCCAGGGTCACAGCAACGGTAGCACCCGGAAGTGGCGTCCTTGCCCTGGCTGGGGCTATACTTCTCACGTGTGTCTTCATCCCTGAGGGAATAAACCACCACAAATATAAACTCTTTGAGCTGGGAGCTCTCTTCTGCTGCTATGGACCCAGGGCTTGGCTCCCCTAGGCTCCCCTTCTCTGGAAATGCAATGCTCTGGTTAGCATAGACATGGGGGAGAATTCTGAGATCCTGACTCAAACTGCAGATACCCTACACACACACACACACACACACACACACACACACACACACACACACACACACCATTATAGTAGTAATATATCCAAAACAAAGATAATGCAAATGACAATAACCTCAGGGCTTAGGTGGAGAAATCCTGCCTGCAGGACCTGGTCTTTCAGCGGTAAAGAACTACTCTGTGTATCCAGAACACAACCCACCAGCAACTCATTTGTAAACAATTTCGCTTCATTCACTCCGTCTTCCAGGCCTCTGGGCTACCGCAGCTGGCGGACAGTAATGGCTGTACACTGCCATCACATGGTCACATGCAACATTGCATGCTGCTCTCCTCGTGGAGGCTCCAGCCAGCCTGTTCCTCTCTAAACCCGATCCATGTTTCATCCTCAGATAATCTGGGACATGGGTCCACACAAACTCTGAGTTCCACCATATGAAAACCCAATTCCTGGAGAAAGACTCTCACCTACACCTCTCTCCTGAGCTTCAGATGTCTTTCGGGAAGTCTCCATCCCACCAATTCAACAGGTCCCACAGACACCACGTGTCCAGAATTGAAAGCCTCATAATGACCCTTTGCCTGTGAAACCTGCTGCTTCCAAATGTTTTTTTCCAGCACATGATAGTGGCCCATAATAGAGCCTTCTGCCTCCCTGACCTCCCGCCACGTACAGCACGTACTGGGGAGTTGAGCCCTACCCACAGCATCACCAGGACAGATCTGGGCCCTTATCTCTAATGCAACCTGTGGACAGCAGTCCTGGAGTTTGTCTTTCCACCAGCAATTCACTTTCTGATGCTTCCCTCGAGCATTCCTTCTGGAACACCCTTAAGTACAAACCTCTCCTGCAGGACTCCCTATTCCCTACAAAACAAAGCCCGGATGAGATTCTCCCTCCCACACACTACACCCAGCTACCTCAGACTTAACACTTTACATCCTCCATTCCCAGGTTCCAGCTCCCACCACCCCAAATCACCCTCCCATCCTGCAGGACTCGCCTCCCTCTGCCTACAGCATTCTCCCTTTTCCTCCCACACCCTGGAGAACCCTGGTACTGCGCTGTGGATACAGCCTTACTTCAGAGCCTGTATTGTATTGTGTTTGTCTGTCTCCCTACGGCCTTGGAGTTTCTAGAAGCCGAAGTCTGTCCTCCAAGTGCATCTCCAGGACCCAGGAGATGGCCTGACTGACAGCAGCTACTTAATCAATGTTTGCCGAATGGAAACAAAGGAGAGGAAGGAGAAACAAAGGAATGGGGTTTCTTGCCCCCAAAACTGTCTGGAACCTTGAATATTAAATCGACCCAATGTGCAGGATAATGAAGAAACCCGAAGCCAGCATGGAGGTTTGCACAGGCCTCTAGGACTTCATGCTTGATGTCCCTACAAAATATCTTCCATAGCTTTGGGTCTGTATACCACTGAGGGTCACAGACACAAAGGCAAGTGACATCCTGAAGTTCTTTATCAAGGGAAGTTGACACCTGGCCCGCCGGGTCCATCCTCACCAGCACATATCTTGCCTGGGAGTTAGACAGACTTCCTGGTAGTCAGACAGACAGGGAGAGGGATCGTGGCTCAGTAATAAAGCTGGTGAATTTCCACAGCTGGTTTCCTCCTCAACCTCCAGACTTCAGACAAAATTCCAACAGCTTAAAACAAAAGCACTGTAGGCTTTGGTCTCCCACCAGCAGGCACCCTGCTGACCAACTGGCTGAACAGGTTCAAGGCTGCTCAGGACAGGTCAACAACAGTCGTGGGCCAATCAACCATCCTATCTTTCTTCAAACTGACCAACCCTAAATTAGGGGAGGAAAACTCTCTAGAGTTTTCTTCCCTGGAGAAGAGACTGGATGCACCCTCTGTGAAACAGAGGATCTTTTTCTCTGTGTGCTGCCGCAGGCCCACGTTTCCTCACCCCCAATAAATGCCGTTCTTCAACTGCTGCTGCTGTCTGCGGTGTTTGAGATTTCTCTGCTGCTGCTTGTTATGCTTGAGATTTTTCCTGGGTTTTGTTCCTTGTTACGCTTGAGATTTTTTTGGTTTGTTTTTAAGACTTTAACTGGCAGAGGAAACGATCCTGACCAAGACTGCCAGACTGTATTGCCATCTTATAAATGAGTAAGTTGTTGAGGCCACTTGTCCCAGCCTCCTGCTTGCATGCACTCCCAATGCCCTGGTAAACATTCCCAGGAAACCTAACTAGAAGGCAAAGGTAACCCGAAGGGCAGTGCAGGTACCTTTTCATGACTGAGATGTGAGGTTCTTGTAGACTCAGCTGCCCTGGGGTTAGAATGAGGTTGAGATACAAGGTTCTTGCAGACTCAGCTGCCATGGGGTTAGAATGAGGCTGGACCACCATCCTCAGATTTAGATAAGATGCCCAAGTCACCAGACGGAGAAACTGCCTGTCTGACCTCCAGGATCAACCTCCCAGAGGACCACTCCTCAGCTTCCCCTTTGCCCCTTTGCGACTCTGGGCAACCACCCCTGGAGCGCCCCAAACCTCACACACTTGACCTGGTCAGCTCCAGAGCTCCTGCTAGCATGCCATCACAGCCCCTCACCTCTTCTTATGGTCCAGAGGAGAGGGTGGTCCCTCCTCTTCCCACTCCAGCTGTTCCTGCTGGCCACGGGGCACAAGGCTCAGGACTGGGCCCCAGGCAACGGCCAACAGCAGGCAGCATCCCAGCACGTATCCCTGTCCATAGGAGCCCATTTTCCTGCTAAAATACAAGGAGAGGGCATGGGTTAGGAAGGTGCTCGACAGAGAAACAGCCCACAGTGAGAACTGTTTGTCCAGCCCCACATCACACACACATACACACACACACACACACACACACACACACACACACACACACACACACACTGCTCCACGGGAGCTTCTAATTCACTGAGCACAGAGTCACCTGCACCAGCCTCTCAGGAAGGGGACCCACCACCTGCTGGGCCCTGACAATAAGCAGAATAAGCCCAAAAGAGTCCAGGGCAACTGCTAGTCCGAGGGACTAGTGGGCAGAAACTGGCTGCGCTGTTTTCTACCACCAGGGGGCGCTGAGCGAGTGTCCATTTGCACATAATGTAGAGAAGGTCACCCATCCAACCCTCTCCCATCTAACAGCCCCACCCACCCACCCACCCCCGCTGTTAAGCAAAAGCTTGGAAAGGACTGTCCTCTTCCAATAGGAGACTGTCCTTCAAGCCTGTCCTCAATCCCAGATGCTTCCCCACCACTTAGCCAAAGCAAGTGAGGGTGTGTGTGTACTGAGTTGAAGTACATGTTTAAATTCTCTACCCCATCCACCTGTCATCTCTCTAAGCGACTGGCCTGGGGCAAGCAGGAGTAGCCTCTCTTTCCCTTCGGCTGCACACCTCAGTCTGTGGTCCAGTCCTTGGTTCCTCAAAACTTCAAAAGTTTAAGGGCTCCTCTTAAACTTCAGCTTCTGGTTCAGCTGACCAGGGCAGGGCCATATCCTGCATATCCTGGGGCTGCCAAGGGTCTGCCGACAGATAGCAGCTTGCATGCCACCTTCAAGCCACACCCCCAAGCCCTGGCACCTGTCGGCAGGCCTGCATTCCTGCTCCTTTGCATGGAGCACCTTTGTCCTGTTGGAACTGATAAGCAGCGAAGGGGCCCAGCAGTGGCACCAGGCACCCGGCTGCGATTCCATGCATCCTTCCAATTAATTCTTTGGACCCGTGAGGTAAGGGTAGGTCTGAGAACATGTCCTCATTAATCACTTCTATCCCACCCAGGCCTCATGTGATCCCGGGGCTAATCTTTCCAGGAGATAATATTCATTCATTAGTATGCCGTTCGTAAGTGAGAACGGAGCAGGGTGGAATGATCTTTTTCAGTCGCTAAAGTGCTAGCCTGGCAGGCACAAGGACCTGAGTTCCACACATAGAATCCACATACAAAATAAAAACAAATAAAAGCTGAGTATGGTGGCCTGTATGTACAACCCTAGTATCATGAAGTTGGAGATGGGCAGATGTCTGGGGCTCACTGGCCAGCCAGCCTCACCTACTTGGTTAGTCCCAAGCCAATGAGAGACCCTATCTCAAAAAACAAAGCAGCCAGGCGGAGGTGGTGGTGGTGGTGGTGGTGGTGGTGGTGGTGGTGGTGGTGGTGGCACACGCCTTTAATCCCAGCACTCTGGAGGCAGAGCAGGTGGATCTCTGTGAGTTGGAGGCCAACCTGGTCTACAGAGCGAGTTCCAGGACAGCCAGGATACACAGAGAAACCTTGTCTAATAAACAAACAAACAAAATAAAGATAGATGGTACCTGAGGAACAACAGCTGAGTTTGTCCCTTAGCCTCCACACGAGCACACACACACACACACACACACACACACACACACACACACACACACACACACGTGCACACACACGTGCACACACACACACACACACGTGCACACACATGTGCACACACACACACACAGAACTGTTCCTCTATACATCTGAACATGCACAGCACACACAGAGAAGGGAACCGTTGGCCTCCTCCTAGGTGCCTGGCTACCCTGGAGCACAGACAAGCGAAACTCAGGTGACCCTAGCCCAGCTTGCCCTGTCAAGACCCACTTCATGCTAAGCTCTGCCGCTGGTTCACGCCTCCCCAGCCCTGACCTGGAAAGACCCTCCTCCTCCTCCGCGGTGTTATGTGTCAGGTTGTCTCCAGCCATGGAGACTTTGGCTTGGCCCTGACTCTCCATCAGACATGGATGTCCCTGGCCCAGCCAAGTGTCCTGCAGCATCCTGGACTTCACTAGTACTCAACAAATATTTATCGAGCTAAGTTCTCTTGATCTGTGTATTTCTCTTTTTCTGTATTTCCTGTTTTCCCCGGTACCTTAGTAATTATTCTCCTCACCCCCTGTAAGTGTTAAGCTTGCATCAGGCAACAGGAAGTTTGCCTTTCTTTAAACTTGGGTCCGTCTGGGTTTTTTTGTTTTTGTTTTTTTCATTTTTTTCCTCACTGTGTAACCCAGGTTGACTTCAAACTCTCAATTCTCCTGCCTCAAGTTCCTAAGTGCTGTAGTGTAGATATGCACCACCACCACACTAATTTTAAACTTGATTTATCTATGACTCTGAATATATATATATATATATATATATATATATATATATATATATATATGAGAATATGTGTGTGTGTGTGTGTGTGTGTAACAAAATCCATGCATGTTTGGGGGCCCTATGAATGGAAGCTGACATAAAGCTGCCTTTAGCTGTCCTAACCCATGGGTTCTTGCTGACATCTGAAACTGGACAGTCCTCCTTTTCTCCTTAGAGAGGATCCTGTCCTGTCTATTTAAGGGTGCTTTGTGGGGTCCCAGCCTCTACCCCAAAATGCTATTAGCATCCTCTTCAGTTTGTAACAACCAATGACTCTAGACTCTGTCTGTCCTCTCAGGGGCAAAATTACTCCCTTCCAGGAACCAGTGCCGTGGCCCCCATTCAATGCTGGCATGTCTCTTTCCAATCGAGAATGGGGATTTTAAACATGTTTGTCAGAAAAGGGGTGCCCAGAGCTGGGTTAGGAATGTGACATGGGTAGGGTGTCAGTTAACAGCCCCCAAAGTAGTCAGAAGCTCCTGCTGATGTCAATGAGGTGGGCAGAGTGTTCCCCCAACACCTGCATGCATGTGCGCATGCGCAACCACACACACACACACACACACACACACACACACACACACACACACAGCCTCCTTTGAAGATTAAAATCAAACCAAGAAATATTCCCCTCCTCGATGCCATCTCAGCAACCATTTAAACAAATCCTATAAAGTCACATTAATGTCATTTTAGTCATTTTTTGGGCAAAACCAATATTGCCCAACACCTAACCAAATTTGGTCCTGTCTCCATTCCCAGCACAGATGGCCTGTGGTGAGACCATCTGGGGATGTGCTCCACACAGAGGTAGCTCCACGGAAGGCTAGGACATCCTGATCATGAGGGTGACAACACCACACAACCAGGACTCATATAGCCTGTCTGGGTTGTGTGGCAGTAAGAGTCCCTGAGGGCAACTCCAGCATGACCCCAGGTCTTCAGCAGCCTCTCCCATCCCTGTGCCTTATCGATACTCTGTTATCTTATTTCTCCCTCCAACTCCCACAGAACCTGCAGAGCAGAGCCCAGCATCCTTCCTAGGCTTCCACCCAGCTTTCACCCCAGCAAGGGGAATCCCCCTTCGCAGGAGAAGTAAAGCCACTTAGAGGAGGGCGGGGCATGTGAGGGCACTTCCTTGCTGGGACTTTTTATCCCTTCCCAGACCTCATGTGGTGGGTCCTTTACGGAAAACGGTATTCATTCGCAAGCTCAATTTCCTTATGTCCAGTTGTTTCTGACCCCTCCCTGCCTGTGTGTGTGGACGGTGGCCTCCTGGAGTGCGAGGCTGCCTGGAGTGTGAGTGTGGGTTTGGCCTTGGTATCTCGCTCCCCATCACCCCCCCCCCCCAGCTCAGTGCCATTGACAAAAGCATTTTGTAAACACTGTTTTCTTTCTTAATCCTCATCGGGTAAGCAGCTGTTCAGGGAGGCGAGAAGCCTGTAATCTCCTTGAACGGCCAGGAGCCTTGGAAGGAGACGGAGCGGCCCTCTCAGCTGGCAGTTTAACACAGGCATGGCTTATGGCATGCCATTGTGCAAGAGCTGGGGTGGGGGTGGGGGGATGATTCAGCCATAAATTAGATGTGTTCCCGATCTCAACTGTGTAACAGCCCAGGGGAGAAACAGACAAATGCTCAAGACTGAATGGTGAGTGATGAGCCCGGAACGTTCTAGACCTTTGCTCTCCGAGCAGTGGCCATTGTGGTATTGAAATCAATTAAAATAAGACACAAATCAAGCACTAATCATGGGGGTACCTACTTGTTATCCCAGGATGCACTAGGAAGAGGCAAAGAGAGCTCAGGACAGTCTCCGCCTCCCCTCCCTGGGAGTACTCCTGCAGACCACCATGCCAGCATTTTGTACTCAGATTCTGAGGATCAAACTCTTGTCTTTGTGCTTTTAATGAAGGCACTTTGCCAACTGGGCTATTGTACCTGCCTGAAAATCTCAGATCTGAAGCTAGTCTGGGCTACTTAATGAGACTATCTCAAAAGTGCTGGGGGTGTAGGTCAGCTGTAGAGCACCTGACTACCATGGACAAGAGACTGGATTCTATTCACAAAATAATAGTAAAATGAAATTCAAAGTTCCGCTCCCTGAGCAGGCTCGTCACGTCCCAAGCTCTGGACAATTGCATGCATGGCAGTATTGCTGCCATATTGGAAAGTACAGAACGTGTCGAGCATGGCTGCAAGTTCCAAGGGGGCTTCTGTTCTAGATTACAGTGGGGCCAGCGGGGGAGGAAGCAGGAGCTATGAACTAACAGCAAGCCTGAAATCTGGGAATCATTTACACTCCTTCCTCCCTTGTATCCGGCACATCTAATCCACCACCAGCCCTCCTTCATAGCCTCGAAGGTCGTTCGTCCTTCCTGCCACCGGCCCTACCAGATGCTTTCCAGGGCCTCTGGCTGCCTCCCAGACAAGCATCTTTGTCCAGCTTTGCTGGGGCCTAGACAGCACCCTAACGTTTTACACTCGTTTCCCAGGAAGCTTGGCAAAGGCAGGACCGGATCTCCCCACGCTTCCCTAATGGCTTCAGCTCTAGGACACATGGAGTGCGTGCAGCACTGGAAAGCTCTTTGAAC